GCTCTGGAAAACCCTCTGGAGCCGCGGTTTATCCCGATCCTTGCCTGATTCTGGGGCTTGGGATCCTTCCCCATCCCACCCCAAACGTGGAGTTCCCGTTTGGAATAATTCGGGATAACACCGGGATGAGGCCCCCGAGCTGCCTCCCCCCAATCCTTGCTGGAATTTCGGGATCCTCGGGATCCACGTCCCTTTTCCCATTTTCCATGGGTTTTTCCCTCTTCATTACCATTATTTAAGGGTCCGAACCGCCGCGTTTTCCCAATTCCCGGTATTTTCAGGAATTTTTTTAGGCGGAATCTCCTTTACTTTCAGTTTTGCCTCTTTCTCCCGGGCGAGTTGTTTCCCGGGATTTTTCCCATCCCCTTTTTCCCGGGATCGCTCGTGTTGATCCCGACCTCGAGCCGAGCAAGACTCGGCTGTTCCAGGCCCTTCTCCCGCATCCCAAATCCCGGGAATTCTCCCGCTGCCGGGGCCAGAGGGACCAGAATCCCCGGGGCTGGAGTTCGGCGCGTCTCCCTTTTATCCCGATCCCACATTCCCCACGAATTTTCTTCTCCCAGACAACCCCCCCACTGGATTATTCCCTGGCTTTCCCTCTAAATTAATCGGGAATTCTGAACCCCAGGCGCCTCCATCCCACGGGAATTTCGGCCGATCCCGAGGGGTGAAAATATTTGATGGGAGAAATTAATAAGGGAGGGAAAAACCGAGGAATTTGGGATGGACGTGGGACAAATATCCATGGGGAAAAAAAACCCCAAACCCTGGGATGTGGCTCCGCGTTGCCTTCACGGAATTTGGGTCTGGAAAACCCAAATGATCCCACTTCGCTCCCAAAATGCAGCGCCGGGGGGAGGACGCGGTTCCCTTGGAGCCGCGGGGCTTTTCCCGGGACTCCGAACGGTCCCAGGACTTCGGGAGAGATCAAATCCGACGGGAAAAGTGCTGGGAAAACTTCCCGCTGGCGGGTAATTCCCGATTCCCCGCGTTTCACCTCCCGACCCGCCGCATCCCTCTCCCCAGCTCGGGTCTGAGGATCCGGGAATCCGGGAGAATTCCCGATTTTGGGATCTTCATCCCCGAGGGGGTTGGAAAAGCTGCTTCCCAGGGCCCGGGAGAGGAGCCCGGGGGGGCCGGGAAAGGCTTGGAATGTCCCTGGAGAAGCGGGGAATCGGGAAATCCCGGTTTTTCTGGGGATGCGCCGGGCCAGGGCTTGGAATTCCAGCGCCCGAATTAAAGCCGGGTTTGGATTTCAGCGCCCAAATTAAAAGCGGGTTCGGAATTCCAGCGCCCAAAACCGAAGCTGGGTTCAGATTTCGGAGCCCAAATTAAAGCCGGATTTGGAATTCCGGTGCCCGAATTAAACCTCGGCTCAGAATTCCAATTTTTTTTTAAAAAAAGCCCAGATTAAAGCCGGGCTTAAAATTCGGCACCCGAATTAAAAAAAACCGCCAGAATTAAAACCGGTTTCAGGATTCCAGTGACAGGATTAAACCCGGGCTTAGAATTCCAGCGCCCGAATTCCAAGCGCCCGAATTCCAAGTGCCCGAATCCAAGCCGGGTTTAGGATCCCGGTGCCCGAATCCAAGCCGGGCTCACCATTCCCTCTCCC